TTTGTTTTCCAGATCAGACCATTTGTCCATCAGGTTTGTTTTCCAGATTGGACCATTTGTCCATCCAGGTTTTGTGACACTGGCAGTGAACAGTAGCTGATGCTTTAGAGAAAGTGGGGAACAAAAGGCAATTCATATAGTCACCTGTGAAGTTCTTTACATGAAGGAAAAATATTCTTCCTAAATAGGTCCTTTAGGCCAGTGGTCTCCGAAGTGGGGTGCGCAAGACGATCCATTGGGATGTGGGAAGAAAATATTAGAACTTCTATTTATATTTATATTTATATAAATATACATATATTGGGGGTGCGTGCTCAAAAATTTTTTACTGATGGGTTGCGCGATCAAAAAAGTTTGGAGACCACTGCCCTAGACCAGTGCAGGCAGGGGGGAACCGATGAGCACTGGACAGGGCTGTCATCTCCATTAGGCAGGGGCCTGGAGAGGCCAAGGGGCTTGCCCGAGGGCAGGCAGGCAGTCATGGGCACAGCCAGGAACAAAGCCCAGAGCCGCCTTGACAAGTGAGAGGTCTCCTCCCAGCTCCCCTCGCTTTGGATTCATGCTGCCTTGCTTGCCTGCCAGAGTGCAAGCAGACAGAGTAGGCCTGGGGCTGGGGCTGGGGCTGGGGCTGGGGCTGGCTGTGGGGGCTTTGCTTTTTGCTCTTGGTCTGGGCAGAGAGGAGCTGGGTGAGGAAGGGACACCCCACAAGGCCTCCCCATTCGGGAGGAGGTCGGGGGTGTCTGCCCATATCGGCCCCACCCTGCAGAAACACAAAGGAGCCCATCTGTCCGGCGGTTATGAGACAGCCCCTGATTGCCTCTTGCCAGCAGTTATCTGCTCAATAAAAGCTCTAGATTTCAAGCTGCTTAAGTGGTTCTCAGGGAGGAGGCGGCTGGTGATGATGGATTGCCCCGGCCTGGACCCCAGCCAGGGGCTCCCGGCCTGGCGCTCAGCCTCACCTCCCGCTGGACCACAGGTGCTGGACACGGCAGTGCCAGATGCACCAGAGCCACCGCTGATGCCAATGGAGCTGATCTCAGCTGGCCAGCCCCATCCCCTGCTCCAGCGGGCAGCACTGCTGGACTGGTCACAGCTGGACCATCCACTGGCTGCATTTCTCCCCTGCCTTCTTCCCCAATCTGAGCCTGGCTTTCACAGTGAGCCTCTCCTCCATCGTGAGCGAGAGCTGTGCTGCTGGGCCCTGCCTGCCTAGCACCTGTCTCTGCCCTGACCCCCGCCCATGTCCGTGTCTCTCAGGGATCGCCAAGGCTTGTGAGCAGAACCTCAAGAAGACTTTCCAGTGCGGCGGCCGGACCAGGTTTCCCAGCAGCATGGAGCTCAAAGCCATGGTGGTGAGTGCCCGAGACCAGGCCTGGCCTGTGGACAGCTCCACGGGGGGCCACACTGCAGCACACCCAGGTCAGCACAGCACGGGCACTGCCTCTGCCCCCAGCCCCTCCTGGCACACCCGGTACAGCCCAGGCTCCTGCCTCCCTCGTCATGGTCCCTGCAGCTCTGTGCCTTTCCCCAGCGGGCAGCAGTTGAGGTCCCTCTCCAGAAGCTGGGGGCTTTGCTCTTGTCCTGCAGGTTTTTTGCTGCAGCGGGGGTAGATTTCAAGCCCTTTCAGAACTGCCTGTCTCCAGGGCGGAGGCATGAGGGGCTGGCCTCCCCGGGGCCCTGGACCCCATGGTGGCAGTGGGAGCACTAAGCGCTTCTGCCCACCTGGACCTGCCAGAGGGCTTCCAGGCTCTGAAGCCTTTGTGCTCCCCCTCCACAGGCCGGAAGGAGCGCGAAACGACAGCTGTTCCTCCTGCCTGGAGGCATTGAGAAGCACCTGAAGATCAAAACCTGTTCGGTAGGTCGGGGAAGGTGGGCAGGGAATCCAAGCCCTGCACCCCTCTGCTCCCCAGGCCTGGTTTAGGGGGTGGGAACTTTCCCACGTATGAGTGTGCTCGGGGAGGGTCCCCCAGTGACCACTCTGAGCCACCCCTGAAAGCACCCAGGTGCCCCCAGCCACCCACAGCCTGGGTGGGGAGAAGGGATTTGCCTCCCAGAAGCATCTTCCCCCTTTGACTGGGCAGCACATGTGCAGCGGTGGTGGACTGAGGGGGTGGGGGGTTGGCTTGGGCACACGGGGGCTGTTGGGCACATCGGAGCTGGGGCCCCAACTTCCAGGGCTGGAGCCAGTGCTCCAGGCTCTGGGCCAGCAGGCAGGAGCAGCTCCTCTCCCAGCGAGTCTGTGCTCAGGGTTCACACCGTTTGCCAGACCAGTGCCTCTGGGAGCCAGCGTGTGTGGATGTGCCAATCTGGAGCCCCACAAAGTGCATTCAAGGCCCCCGTGGTTCTGCTTCACTTGGGGTCTGGTGCTGGAGAGGGGCAAGTCTCCTGGGGCCTCCAGACCTGGCCCCCAGTGAAGATGCTTGGAGAGGCACCCATGTTTCAGAGCGCTTCCTCGATCCAGCTGAGTCCCCCACTGGGGCTGGGCAGGCCCTCCACGTAAGCGCCAGGGACCGGGGGCCTTGCAGACACAGGGACAGGTTCAGGAGCAGGGCAGACCCCCCGGGCAGGGGCATCACCCTGGAAGCTCCCTGCAGTGGGGTGGCACAGCCCAGTGCCAGGGGCACCTTCCCAGCAGCATGGTTCCCCTCTCCAGGTTGCGCTGGATGCGGTTGAGGAGCTGTGCGAGGAGATGGGGCTGCACCGGCCTGAGGCTTTTGATGAGTACATCATCTTCGTGGTGTCCAGCAGGGGTGAGTCCCACGCCCTGCCCCAGCACACATGCCCCACATCCTGCCTTTCCTCTGCCCCACTGCATCAGCTGTCTGCCGGGCGGATGCTGCCCTGCATGCCAGAGCCTTCTTACTGGTGTCTCAGCACCTTCCCGAGGGCCAAATTCCCAGGAAACGCCAGGCCAGAGGTGAAAAGTCTTTACCCACCCAGCACTTTCTGGGGAGTAGCAGCCCACACTGCCTCTGTCCAGCTCCCCTGGCCCTCATCCTTGTGTCTCTGGGGTGGCCACTCGTGTGACTCCCAGACCAGCTTACGTAGGCAGTGGCATCCTCAGCGCAGGGCACTCTTCTCCCAGGTGCTCCCAAGGGAGCACAGACCAGAGCGCCGGAGTGGGAATGACCCTGAGCTGACTGCTGCACTGTGAATTATGCAGCTTTGTGGTCATATGTGGGGTCGGGTAAGCCCTGAATTTCTCAGGGGACAGAAATTCCCCCTGCCCAGCATCATAGAGGATTAGACACAGGGGCAGCATCCTGCCCCCGACCTGCCCAGCCCTTCTGGGCAGCCCCACATGCCTGACCCCAGCCCGTGCTCCTGGCAGGTCAGAACGTGCGCCCCCTGAGCCGCAGGGAGTACATCCTGGACGTGGCCACGGAGATGGAGCGCGTGGACCCCAACTACACCTTCTGGTGCCGCCGCGTCATCTGGATGCAGCCGCTCAAGTTTGACAACGAGCTGTACGTCACCGCGCACTACAACCAGGTGAGGTCTCTGGGCCAGGGAGCGAGGGGAACTCGCCACCCTCCCCCTTGTCCTCCTGGGCCCGGGGGGGCCAGGCGTCTGTCTTGCATGGTAGTAGCTCTGTGCGTGTGAGGGAACTGGGAGAGGTGTTCGCGCCAGCCTGCTGCTGGGCTTCAAGTGCCTCCCTCAAGCTAAGGAGGGTCCAGTCACGTCACATGTGCACGGGAGACATCCAGGGAGGCGTGGGGACCTAGTGGTGGCGACTGAGTTGGGGGATGGCCTTTCCTCCAAGGTGCCGGTCCCCTGCCCCGCGTTGCCAGAGTAAACTCTCGGGGCTCTTGGAGACCCACAGCACCTCTCGGTCAGGGCAGGCCTGGGCGCACAGCTGCCCTTGCGGCGTGTGAATGAATGGCCCTCTTTGCCTGGTGTTCGTGCAGAACAGCTGCGTTACAAGAACATTGTGATGGTGGTCAAGCCAAGCCCCCTCCCTACGTGCAGCCCCCTTTGTCCAGCACAGCACTCTCTCCCCCTCAGGTCCTCCCTGACTACCTCAAGGGGCTCTTCAATGTGTTCCCTCCTGTGAAGCCCAGTGACCAGCAGCTCCAGCAGATCGCCAAGCTGGCAGCCCTGCAGCACCGGGCCAAGGACAGCCTGTATCTGCCCACCGTGTAGGTGCTGGGGCAGGGGCTGGGCTTGGGTGCACTCCTGGGCGTTATGAACAGCATCTGGCAGGGAGCGCAGTGTAGTGGTGAGAGCAGAGGACCCCAGACGCAGGGGCATCACTGCAGACTCCACGACTAGTTGCCCATGGAGCTCTGGGGGAGCCGCTTGCCTTCTCCTTGTCCAGATGCCCTGGCAGCCCTCGCCGCCTCCTCCCAGGGGTTACTGAGCTTGGTTGTTTGTGGTTGGAGATCCTCTGCCCAGACAGACAGGCCAACACGGTCCCCAGGGTGACCAGAGGGGCCCGCTGGGGGCCATGCTTCAGCCATTGGCCCTAACTGTGGTCCTGTCCACCCCGCAAGCCTCTCCTTTGGACCGCACAGTGCTCTTTGCCCAGCTGGCTGGGGCCGTGGATGAGAGCCGGGGTCTGGTCTCTTGGGCCAGTAGCCAGCCAGCGTGCAGCAAGGACATGGGGTGAAGCACTCAAGTGACAAGAGTCCTCCAGTGCCTGCCCACAGTCCCCATGTATGCCCACCACAGATGACGTTGCCCCCGGGTCCCTGGACAGTCATAGGCACAGGAAACCATGGGACGTGCTTCCTGCTGGCCCAGCACCCCCAGGGGGGCATGCAGTGCCCAGGAGGGCTCATTGCCATAGGGGAGCCAGGCATGCCCAGTCTGGGCTGCCCCAAGTGTTTGGACCCCTTCCCAGAGGCCTGACCGCAACATTGACCTGCCCCCGCACCGAGCGAGCACCTAGCAGTCGGGGTGGGCCCTGGGCTCGGTTCAGAGCCTACGCTCATGTCCCCGTTGATACTTGGAGTAGCTACAACCCTGGGGTGCAGGTATCTGCCTGGCCCTGGCTGGTGGTGACCCCCTCTCCTGTGCTTCCCACGCAGCCGGGAGGTACAGGACTACATCCCGCCGCAGTTCTGCCGCATGCAGCACATCCAGTCCTGGTTCAACATGGTGATGCAGCACATGCAGCAGGTCCAGGCTCTCAGTGCCCACCAGGCAAGAGCCCAGTTCCTAGGTAAGATGTCTCCCACCATGGACACAAGTGACCCATGGTGGGCACAAGCACCCATCAGCCCCCTCCAAGAGTGCACCTGAGTACTCACTTGCCGCCATGGGAAACCTGCCCTCTCATAAGTCTCTGTCAGTGGGGAGTGTTGCTTTCCCTGCCAGTCTAGGCCAGCCTGCAGAGGGGCCCTCGGTTGGAGTGGGATGCCATGGGCTGCATTGATAGTGGGACCAGCCATGGTGGGATGGGACGGTTCCCCTCCAGGACCTCCTCAGCCCCAGCCCCCACCACCAGGATCAGGCTCCCCGGCCTCTCTGCTGACAGTGTCCCCTCCGCAGGGCTCGTGAGCGCCTTCCCCATGTTCGGCTCATCCTTCTTCTACATTCAGAGCTGCAGCAACACCACCATTGCCTCACCCTGCATCCTGGCCGTCAACCAGAACGGCCTCAACTTCCTCAACAAGGAGACCCATGTAGGTGTGGGCCGGTGGGCCTGGCCCCAATCATGCCTGCTTGCTTTGGGGGCAGGCAGAGCTGAGCTCTGGGTAGCACCATCTCAGAGCTGCCCACGAGCAGCAGAGGGTCCAGGGGAGCTCGCAGCACCCTGGCATACCCAAGCTGCCCCCACAAACACTGCTCTGTCTCTGGGGCTCTTGTGATGACCACATCTGACACCTGCTGCCTGCTCCAAACCTGGCACGTCAGGCAGGGGTGGGAGCACCTCAGCCAGGCATCACATCCTAACCCAGTGGCACCATCCCTTGGAGAATGGGGCCCATGGCAGCTCATGCAGGTTTGGAGGGAGGCTGTGTGCTATAGCACCCTGGGGCTTAAGGCAGCCCAGTGGGTCCAGTTTGGGCAAGTCCATCTTGAGTAATTAGGGGGCTCAGGGAGCCTGCATCCTTTACTCACTAAGTCACCCCCCAGCCTCTCTCACTGGCCCATGTCCCTCACAATATGCCAGAGACCCTCATGTCACGCATGGGGACCTCCTGTTTTGGAGGAATCAGCAGCTGCAAATTCCTCAGGTGACTGAGGGCAGGGAGCTGGCTCCCGCTGTCTCTCTGTTGTGGGGCTGCAGCTCCATTCTGGGCTTGCACAGCTCCTGGCGCAGCGGTGCCCGGGCGTTCCTCAGCTTGACAGCACCCATTACTCCTAGCACGGAGGAATCTGGTTAGGGAGCATGGGGACGGTCCCCTAGTGCTGCACGTCTAACTGTGCTCCTCCCCCCCAGGAGCTGATGGTGATGTTCTCACTGAAGGAGGTCCAGTCGGCAAGGACGCAGCAGCCCTCAGCCGGCTCCAGCTACCCCTACGTGGAGCTCACGCTGGGAGACGTGATGTCACAGAGCGTCACGCAGCTGCAGCTTGACCAGGTACGAAGGCCGGTGGCTCTGGAGACCATGGAAAACCACCCACTCATCTTCCCCCTGGGGCCCTGGGGCCTGTCCAGGATTGGGGACGCAAGAGCAGGGCCCAGCTGGGGCGTCGGTGCCCGCAGGGTGGGCAGGCCACTGGAGAAGACTGCTGTGTTGGTGGCTCCTCTGCCTCGTGCTTCTGTGGCTCTCAGTCCCGATCCTAGGGCAGGTCTGTCCAGCAGCCTCCTGCTGTGACTGCAGCCTACCACGGTGGGTTGGGGAGCCCCCATCCCCGCCGGGGCAAGATGCAGGAAGAAGGCGCCTGGGCTCACCTGCCTCCTTGGGACACCTCCATGTGATGCTCCAGGGATGCAGCTCCTTTAATTCTCTCCTTCTTGCTTCTCTTCTCTCTGTCTCCTGGCTTTCCTCCTCCTGGCTCCTCCACCCGGCTCTCTTGAGCGTAACCTTCCCATGGTAGGTAGCTGCTCCTTGCTCTTCTATCTGAGGAGGCCATGTGCTCAAACCACCATGGGTCCTCGCCCCTCTGTTCTGGGTCAAGAGTGGGTGGCTGGGGCTTGTTTTTCCATAGTGGTCTCAAGAGCATGTGGACAGGCCCCTTGCGCCTGCTGCGTGGGGCTTGGGGGCTCTCAGCCCCAGCTGGGATGCAGTGTAGGCAGAGGATGGCCCCGGACGGCTCCCGTGCTGCCTCATGTGATGGGCATCAGGCAGAGACCCCCCTCCCTCCCCCTACCAATTCCACAGGGGGCCAGTAGAGACCTCCCCAGCACTGCAGCTGGCCCAGCAGGGAGGAGAAGAGCAGGTCGGAGGAGGAGCTGGGCCTTGCTGTGGTCACCATTAAGGGCTCAGTCCATGGGTAGCAGGGGTCAGGGGCTTCTGTGCTCTCAGGCTCCGGCTCCCAAAGCCTAACCATAACCACAATCCTCTGCACACTGCTTGCAGCCACCCACGGCACAGCTGAAGTCAGGCTGCAGGAGTGCAGGACCGCCCTGAGCATGGCAGGGGGGTTGCTTCTGGCAGTGCCAAGCCCCAGCTGCAGGTCATTACCTGGAGAGGAGCTAATGGGGTTTTGGGGGTCAGCCAAGTTAAGCTGTGCTTTGTCCCTCTGCAGGGCCTGGAGCTGTGCCGCGTGATCGCCACGCACATGGAAAGCTTGCTGTTCGCTCGTGAGAAAAGGCTCACCCTACCGCCTAGCGAGATCACGCTGCTCTGAACATGCATGGCCTGCCCCATCCCAGCTGCACCAGCCAAAACCGCCGTGGGGCTACGGAGATGTCTCTGCCTCCTGGCAGGGGCACAGCACCGACCTGGCGATACCAGCTCTTGGCTGATTCAAGTCAGCAGACGCAGCTGGTTCCAGTGAGGCTGGGCTGGTCCGTTCCCCGTGAGGACACAGCCTGGTGGCATTAGGTCAGAGAGGGTGGGAAAGCAAAACAGATAGGAGGAGTGGAGGAGGAAGCAGAGGAACACCAATGCCTTAATTAGGATAAGGATGCCCTCACAGACCTCCCTTGCAGTGGGGTCCTAGGACCAGGAGCAGAGACTGTTTATTAGTGACTTATCCAGGGATCATCCTGAAGCAGGCTGTGCCCGCCGGGATGGCCATAACCCAGTTTCTATGGGCCACAGGCCTCCTACCTTTCGTACTCATACCCACCTCTGCTACCGTGCCTGTCCCCGAATCATTATTTTTGTAACTGGACTTGGCACTGGGGCAGCTCTCGCCTGCTCAGCCCCACTCCTGGTTTTGTAATGTTTTGCACTTGAGGTCACGCTGAGATTTTTTGTTTTTAATTGACGCAAAATTAAACCTCCCTTGGAAGCCCAAAGCCGCCTCTGCCTGGATCTGCTGAGCAGCATCAGGCCCTGCAGAGCTGCAGCCCTTTCCTCCACCCTGAGGGTGCCTGGGTTTTGAGTCTGGTTTCGTTTTACTGTGACCCTGCAGCTGCCAGAGATGTGTTCTCTATAATGCCCTGAGCTCCCTGCAGTGCTCCTGTTCTGCCTTGTGCCCTCCCCATTTGGGAGTTGCCTGCCTGTTCCCCAGAGAAACAGGACGGGCAAGCAGGAGGACATCAGACTGTGAAAAGAGATGAGCTCCAAACCACGCTCCGATGCCTAGAAAATAGGCCAGATGCTCCCTAATGAAAGAAGTACATTTGGGCAGAGGCAAAGGGACCGTGGCTGGAGACACACTTGCCTTCACCCTCTCTCCTGCACACACTCGGCGTCAGCTGTGCCCCCGACACCAGCGCTGAGCTTGACCCTGCCCTTGCAAAGCACCTTGATGCCCACGCTGAAGCCAGAGTCTTTCCACCCAAGCACGCTTGGCCGTGTGGCACGGTGAGGACCACGACGCGGCAGGGACATCTAGGGTGACACATTGATGGCGGGGGAGACAGATATCCTCTGAGCCACTCCAGGCGCTGTGCAAGACTCAGACTAGCCAAGGCAAGAGGCTGGTCCCTATGCAGCCAGGACCCCCCCTTTGCAGCAGTGCGGTGTCCTGCCAGTGCTGGAGGGTGGGGGAGAAACCTAGATGGTCGATGCTGTGCTGCCTAGGGGGGAGCACAGACTCAGACCAGGGGGCCGATGGCCATGATGAGCCAGCACAGCTCGGGCAGCCGGCTGCTTCCCACTGGCTCCTACCCGCGACAGCAGCTGCCAGAGCACATGACAGCCTGACGAGGCCGTGCTAATTGGATTGGCGGGCAGGCAGGAGAAAGATGATTTCCAAGGGGCACGGCGTGACCTGCGGGGAGGGCTTATTCGGTCACTTATTTCTGGTGCTCAGAGCAATGAGGACAGTTCCTGGAGGCTGTAGACAGCCTAGGGCAGGGCTAAACGAAGGGCCGAGCACTGCACCTGCCCTGGGCTCGCTCCTGCCTATCCACATTCCCAGTCTGGCGCGCGTCTCACCGCAGCCCAGGACAGCAGTTCTCAACCGGGGCCTTGAGGTCCTGGCGAGGACGCAGCACGGCTTGAGCCTGTTTTTTATGAAGCAGGCGGAGATTTCAAACAGAGGCCCCTGGTTTTGTGCCACTGAGCGCTTTGAAATGGAGACTTTCAGCCACCAAGCCCCCGGGGGCACTCGGGCCTGGAAGAGGGAGCATAGCTGGCCGGGGGCAGGGGCCGTGGCCATTGGGGCGTCCTCCAGAGTCAAGGGCTCCTGGGGCAGCATGTGCGCCTGAACCCCTGGGCTGAGTCCTGTCCTGCTTGATGCCCATGTCTACCCTGCTGCAAGGGGGCAGTGGTGGGGCACCAGCCTCCCAAGACGCTTTCTGCAGCACCTCCAGGGCTGGCAGGGCGTGCACTGCTATCCAGCCTGTGCATAGGAGGCTGCAGCCACCCCTCGGCCTGCGGCCACGTACCCGCCCCGGCCTGGCCTACCATGTGGCACAACTGGCGCCCCGCAGTCGGGCTGCCCCGCCATGCGCCTGCACCAGCCCATCAGGCATCTCCTTGGGCACCCCCACTCCCTCCGGGGTCCTCCCTATACCACCCGAAAGACCCCTCCGCTCCCGCCTCCACCAATCAGCAGCCGGCATTCCCCTCTTGCTCCCGCCTCCGCGGTGCGGCTCCTCCAATCACCCTCCAGTCGGGCGGGGTGAGAGGGCCGCCATTACACACCGCCCTGGGAGGCGACGTTCGTCGCGCAGCGCTAACCGGAGCCCCCCTCCCCCGGTGCTGAGGTGGTTGGCCCCTCACGCGCATGCGCCCATGGTGTGAGCCGCAGAGGAGGGGGGTGAAGGGGAACCAGCGGGGCGCGGCTGCGCATGCGCAGCGGGGTGGGCGGGCCCGCGCGTGCGCGCTGCCAGCCGGC